ATTATAATTATGGACTTTTTTTGTAAATCTAAAATAGTTTAAGGATAAATTTGTAATTTAACCTTAGTAGAATTTTTATTATTCAACGACAGAAGAATGATGATTTTGAAAAAATAATTAAGGGCATTTTAGTCCAAAACACCGGTAATCCAAAAATACCTAAGGAAAGGAGTAATCACATTCCCGGTAATATACCCTAAAAATCCATTGTTGGTAATAAAAGATTATCAAAAATAAGATTACCGGCCAACCAAATGGGGGAATAAAGATTTCATTATCCCGGTAATGTTGTATGCCGTGAACCAAACGGCCCCTAAGGGTTTTGGAGGTTGGGACCTCATAAAACCGGTATAGACAACTCAGTTAGGCTTGAAATTGACCCGGAGAATAAAGAATAAAACCGACATTGTCATTTTTAAGCCTGCTTTGTTGTTTACTAAGTCTACGTTTCTGATTTGTTAGATTTAGTCATGAATATAAAAAGCTTATATAATTTAACCGATAAATAGAGGTGTAATACTCTTGTATTTCATCTTAAAATAGTAAAATTTTAAATTTAATTTATTTAAAAATTATATAAAACCATATAAAATATTAGTATATTAATATATATTATCATTTAACATAAAAATGTTTTGGCACGAACTAATTTATCTTAGTGGTTAATGTAATTGTTGTTGTTCTTAAAAGTCACGAGTTCACAATGACAAATCCAATAAAAATTTGTACGCAAGTCCAATATAAACAAAATAAAATTTTTGTCCAAAATAATACATATATATATTTTTAATATAAAAATATAATAAAAAATGTATATATATATCTATATCTATATCTATATGTGTGTGTGGATTAAATCTAGAAAAAGTATATTAATTGGACTAATATAATTTTTTAACATAATTCATACATATCTCTTCTATTTAGGGTAAATTAACTATTTGGTCCCCCATATATTACTGAATTTATATTTTGGTCACTTAACTATTATTTTTCTTCAAAAATCATAATCAACCTTATGATTTGGTTCTATTTCGATCACCTACCGTTAAAAAATTAAGAATGGTGTTAATATGATATTTTTTAATTATTTTTCAATCATGACATGTCATTATCTTATGATGATACGTCAACATCATTGTTAATCTTTTAAAGACGAGTGACCAAAATAGAACCAAAATGTAACATTAAGTATGCTCTAAAATAAATAATAATTGAATGGTCAAAGCAGAAGCAAAATAATAAATTGGTGATTGAATAAATAATTTACCCTTTTTGGGGCATGGGGAGCCATGGCCTAGGTAGGCCTAGTCCTAGATACGCCCCTGATGGTTCAAGCACTAGCTATTGCAGCAGGATGACTAACCGTTCACTGTCAAATGGTTGAAAGTATTTAGAACATATACTATTTTGTAATCACCTTAGCATAATAAAAAAAATGTTTTGATCATTTTTAATTGAATTAATCTTAAATTAACTTGTAATATTAAATTTGATAAGTTTTTGCTATATGAAAATATCCTAATAAACTAATATAAATTCTCACATCACTTTTACTTCAATTAGAAAATTTTAATCTGTCAAAAAAATATATATTAAAAGTTCAAAATGCGAATAATCAGTTTGGAAGATTTTTAATTCAAATTTAAAACACACACAAATATCTTCCTTTGTTTTTGTACTTTTTGAATAGACCTAGCAAATCTGACTTGAACCTGATTATCCGAACCAATTTACTCAACTCAATACCTGATATTAACATGAACATAATGATCAAATTTGATCCGAAACTCGAACTATATCTGACCCGAACCATATCCTATCTAAAAATTAGATGATCGAATATGAACCCATATCCAATTTGATCTGAACCGAAAATAACCCGAACCGAAAATAAATCAAATTGAAAACAATCCAAACCAAAAATAACTTGAACCGAAAGCAATCCAAACCGAAATTTAACCCGAACCGAGAGAAACTCGAACTGAAAGAAATACGAACCGAAAGCAATTCGAACTGAATTTAACCCGATCTGAAAGTAACCCAAGCCGAAAATAATTCGAATCGAAAGTAACCCAAACCGAAAACAATCTGAATTTAATTTATCTAAATTCGATCTGAACCGAATATTGACCCAATTTTTAAACTTAATAAATGAGTAAAAATAAATGAAGGATTTACTATATATATATATATAACAATGTGATGAATAGTAAAATAATACATGTTTTATTCTCTTTTTGAGTTACACTCTTAGTTAACCGCCAACTTTGATAATAATTTAATGAATATCAATTTTTGATAAGTCTAATTTAAATGATGAAAATTATTTTGAACAATAAATTAATTTAAATAAAGTTACAAAATTAATAAAAATATTATATTTATAATAGAATTTTTTTTACTTATATTACATAAAAGAAATAACAATAATAAGAGGAAAAATATTACTTATGTTACTTTCATTACTTATAATGAAGATAATAGAAAGTTTACTTATGTTATAACAGTGAAATTAAAAACAATAACAAATAAAATTTACTTATGTTACTTTCATTACTTATAGTAAAAATATTAGATTTATTGGGAAAAGAATAGGAAACAACTAAAACAAAGGAAATGATATATTAATATCAAATTTATAATGAAGATAATAGAAAGTTTACTTATATTACAACTTACAACTAAAATGTAATAAATAAAGTTATGTATGATTTTTTTAAATTTAATAAAAATATTGAATTTACAATTAAACATTAAATAATTGATTGAAAATAATTTTTTTAATAAAAAATATTTTTATTTCTTTATAAAATAGTTCTCCTTATAAACATTTCGTACAAGATTAATATAAAATTTATTTAAAAACAAGTTGTAACATGCATTATATGATCGCATTTGTGTCAAAATATCATATTTAAATGATAGTTTTATTTAAAATATTAAATGATTGAGAATTGTTGTCGAGTCAATCAAACCAATGGAATGACTAAGAGGGGGTGAATCAACATTTAAAAATTTGATGGAAGCTTGTTGCAAGAAAAAAAATTGACCAAGCAATTTTAGAGTGGTTCAACTTCTTCAATGAAGTCTGCATCCACTACCCTAGCTTCCATAATAAGGATTTCAACAAATTCACTAATTTGTTCTAACCTTTTAGGACTAGGTGTAACCTTACAATATACTTAGACTTGTACCCTAAAGCGTCAAGTACATAACTCTTCCAAAGAAGAAATTACAAATAAGCAAACTTAGAAAACCTCACTAGGAATGTGTTTGCACAATTCAAGAACAAATAAGAACACTCAACAAACGAGTACAATAATGTTCTTTGAAAGCAAAAAGAATATTCAAGAAAGTGGCTCAATGTGATTGCTTTGGCTTTCTCTATGATCTTTTGTCTTCACATATAGCTTGAATTCTTGTTTTTATACCTCTTCATTCAATTCTAGCTGTTTGGGTTGTTGTGTGAGTTAATAGTCATTCGAATGAAGTTTCCCGCAATAAATGATGCCCAGAGGGCTTGGAATATCGATATTGCATGCATTAATTACAAAAATCTAGCGGTTGGTGAGAAAGGAGTATCGATACTATGATGTGAGTATCAATATTGATACAAAAAATGGCTATTGTAATTCATTTTTGTCAAAACCATTAAGGGATTATCGATACTCCCATCCAGAGTATCGGCACTGCATGAATAATATCGATACTATTATTGCAGTATCAGTACTGTAGGGTTTAAAATCGATTTTTGACTCGATTAAAATTCAAAACCCTTTGTAAAATTGTTTGAAAATTATTTCCAGTATATGACTTTAATTTTCACAAGGAGTAAGGAAAAAAATGGAGTTTTTGACCTTAATAAGAATTTCAATATTCGATCAATTTAATCGAATATAAGCTTAAAAACTGAATAAAAATAATCTTAAAATTTCTTTAAAATACTATTCATTTTTTATATATCAAAATACAAAGCATGGTTCAACAATTGTAATTAAGCCTAAATGATAAGATTAACAAACAAGAAAGCATATTTTTTTATAAGAATATATCAATAATTTTATATATATTTGATTAAACTCATAACCCACTCAACCCGAATTGATCTGATTCAAAGGTTGACCCAAATCGAAAATCAACCGATCAGATATTGACTTAATTCGAAGATAAACGATCCAATATTGATCCGACCCAAAATCTAATCGATCCGATATTGACCCCACCCAAAAATCAACACATTCGATATTATTCTGAACCGATAAACAACCGATCTGATAATCATCCGACCCAAAAATCAACCCACTCGAAAATTGACCCAACCCGACCCGATTTACCATACACCCTAACTAAATCCAAACCAGATCCGATCCGATATGGATAAGAAATGACATTTTTTCCTAATCAAATCGAAGCAAATGTTGTTGACCATTTATGTATTCATGCCTTAATCGTATACTTTATCATGTTAAATTGTTTAAAATATATGAATTTTTACACATTTGTATATTCCTACATATTCATGTTAATTTTCCCCATCTCGTATCATCTATCTAATTTATATATTAGGTAAACTACACGTTAATATTTCAATTATTACGTTTGTTCTATTTTGATCTCTCAACTATTTTTTTTTTTCAAAATTATACTTACCATTACATTTTGATTTCATTTTAATCACCCATCATTAAAAAAATTAACAATAATGCTACCGTGTCACCATAAAATGTCAAATTATCATTGATTTTTTAAAAAATATCACATCAGTAATTATGTAAGTGTAATTTACCCTTATATATTTCATTTCAAGTCAACATTGATTGTAGATGGGATAATTTATAGAATACAATGACAAGGCACGTTACACTAAAGAGCTATAAACACCACACATCGAGCATGAGATGGGATATTAATTTAAAACCATGGCTATGGGCCAATTTTATATCAAATTAGGTGTGCAAATTTCTCACTTATAACTCACAAAGGATATGCAGAGAACAGAATTGCAAGCATCCCTTTCCTTTTATCAATGTTGTGTAATATGCCTAACAATGGTTTGTTTTACAAAATTGGACCCCCCCCCCCCCCCGAGATGTAAACTAAATTTTAAAAAGAAAAAGAAAGAATACCTTTACAGCTTCCTTACAATCTTCGCAATTGTCTTTTTAAACCATTCTGATAGACGCTCCATCTTCAAAGACAGGCGAGCGCTTCTAGCGAAATAACTCTCCGCATTTGAAAGCATTATCGTTATGTCATGCTTCACCCCTTCCAACGTTCGATAATAATTGTTCTCTAACCTAAGCCGGATGAATTCGGGATACAATGGAACCGGAAACCTGTCAGAATTCCATTTCAAAAGTTTAGTTTAGGTTTCGGTTGATAGATTATAGGCCCCGATCCAATGAATGCATCGAAATGCAGGGTGGCTCTACTACCCTAATCCTTTTGGCAAGTTGCAGGCAACAATGAATCCAATAAATTAAGGAAAAGAAACATGAGTATTTGAAATGGGAATTTGAACCTGTTAAGGAATTCCGATTTCTGAGCAGCTTCGTTCAGTTTCTGAAATCCATATAAATCCTGCAACAATTGAAATACGGAAAATTAAGTCAAACTATACCATTTTCTTCTACAACCTTAAACAAAAGGTTAACATCCAAATATAAGTAGTTAGAAAGAACCTGATCTTTGCCTGCTGAACGCTCTAATTTATAAAAAGAAGACACAAGCTTATCCCTGATTTCATCATCGATACGTGGATGCTCCCATAGAGTGTTAGGGTCATGCAATTCCCAAGCACTGTGACGATACTTACAACCATCCTTGTAAATAACTTCGTATTTTTCCCAAGGACTATCAGGGAAATCCATAGATTTTGGCTGTGAAGCAATGATTCTACCATCCCACCAATCTCCACCCTCCTGATCACAGTTCTTCCACCATACTTGGCATTTATTCTTACGAGTCCATTCTCTACTCATTGCAGCATCGTATCTTGTCTTTTCGACAAGAAAATCGGGAAGACCTATCAACTCTGGCAAGGTCAATGTGAAATCCTCATCAAATGCACATGATGAATTATCTACAAATCTAAGTTTGATTTTACAGCAACTCTCTCCAGATCCCGGAACTTGGGAATAAGCAAGGTCCACAACCCTGCAAATTTCCACTGCACTCAGGTGTGGCCATGAGCTCCACGGACCAGTTCCCTTTATGAAACCTTGTTCAATGCACTCTTCATGCCCCTACAAAATAAAAAACGCCTCATGTGAAATAGTAATTATCATGTTGGTACCCCCCCCCCAAAAAAAAAAAAAACAGAGCAAGCATGATATACCTGTCTGAAATATACAACTTCATCACCCAGCTGAGGTATATAACGATAACCCTCTTCCTGTTCTGACACCATCAACCATGATAATTTGCTAACAGAAGGATTCAACTTCCTTCCACTCAAAAATTTCAAGTTATTGTCATAACCACCACTCCGCTTGGTTCTGTTGGATCTTGATCTGTGTCTATGTTTTGAACTTGACATCCATTCTTCAGATACAAAACCATTGTATCCTTTTGAAGATAAATTTTCTTCATTTTCTGATGTCCCTGCTACTGCATGACCTACTTTTACCTTCATCTTCATGGATTGTTTTCGGCGATCTGCATCATCTGCTTTGGTAAACACAGTTCCTGAATCATGATCATTAATGGAATTTAAACCAATTGAATGCTGTAACCTAGATCTGTCAGAACCTTCATCCATTTCTTGCATGCTGTAACCTAGATTTAGTTTAGCAGACAAAGTGTTTCTGGGCCTTGCATCACGTTCATCGCAGGTTGGATCATTCACTACAGTGATGGATTTTTGTTTGGAAGGACTTTCAAGGTCCCTTGAAATTGCTTTTGTTCTTATTCTTAATTTCACTGATTTGTGTGGAGAAATCTCATTTGACTCATGAGATTGGTTAAGACCAATAACTTGATCAGTTTGCGAGGAGTCATGATTTCCATATTTATCAAAGCTAGACCAACCTATATCTCCCTGGTTGAGGCTGACATTAGAATAAGATGCCGAAGGACTGCCATTCAGTTGACGGTCACATAGGGATGGTAAAGATTTGTGTGCCTCATCAGGAGCAAACTCTTCCATCATCACTCTGTCCAGATCTTGCAATGTAGGAGTACTTAACTGTCCCTCTTCCCTGCAAGAAAAAACATATCCATGAATATGGATCTTATGTTGTACGTTCCATATTTAACATACCTATTTAAAGCAGTAATCCTGTTTTCATAGGGGACATCAATTGTCACCAAATCTCCTGACCTTGAACGCTTGGATGTCCGAATTTTAACCTCTCCCCATCTGATTTTGTTATCCTTGTCCCCTACAAATTTCTCTAAATGATCATCAGTATTTACAGTTTGCCTCGGATCTTCTAGATCAACCCTGTCATGCTCTGAGAGCTCCACATCTGCAGTGGTTAAGCCAGGGTCTTTCATGTAGTTATTTATATTCTCATCAAAAGTAACTGAAGGTCCAGCCAAAGAAGGGTCCAGTATATTGATCTGATTGCAAGTGTTCAATCTGGTGGCCTCTGAAGCACCTGGGTTCCTAGAATCACGTAAGGAGAACTTTAAGACCAATCTTTTTCTGTTCACAGTATCTGGCTGCAATTTGGGAAGTTCATGAGACCATACTATGTCCTCAGACTCTTGGTCCTTTTCTATGAACTTCAGTTTTACAGTCTCCAAGTTTCTCTCAGTTTCGCTGTTTTCAGAACTTGAATCTTTAGACACTGACTCACTATTTGATGAATCACCTTCTGAGTCCATTTCATCTACATCTGTAGATGTCACAGTGATTCTAGACATCATGCTTCGAGCATTACGTGCAGCAACCCTCTGAGCCCTCTGAGGTCTCAATGTCTTTCCTTTGGAAGACTTCCTCTTTGAAGCTTTTCTACCACTTTTTGATTTGTTACTTCTACTGGATCTGGGTATAGTTCCATCACGCTCATCCAAATACCTCTTTTTGACTCGTTTCCTTGACGAAGTCTTCAACGCAGCCTGAAAATGATATTATTTAGTTTAAAACATAGTCCAGACAATAACGAAAACAGGAAGAAGGCGAATTCCACTTACTTCAGGGCTGCCTTTTCTTCTTCGTGATCGGCGAAGACCATCTTTGTGACTGCATTCAACCTCACTGTCTTCTTCACTGCTCTCTGTGCCTCTAGAAGAGATGGAACACAATGCCCTCTGTTCACCTTCTGTAGAACATTCCTCAGCAACATTGTACTCTGAATCATTGTCATCACTGATAACTTCGTTTTCAGGTTCCCAAAACATGGCATCCAAGAAATCAGGTAGGGGTTCTATCACTCTTTCCAGATCTTCCAGGAGTGGCATTTCAAAATCCTGGCCCAAACTGACATCTGGGCCAATAGCAAACTTTGTTGAAGATGGATGCCATTCAATACCCAACGCGCCAAGTCGCCGTTTCTGGTACATACTCTGGTAAGGTTCTGGGTATGGAATCATGCCTGGAAATTCTCATGAAAATCATTAGCTGAACTATATTAGGATAACATACTAAACAATCCACTAAAGCAGTGATCATACTAGCATCACAAATAAGATCTTGCATGTTCCTACGATGCGGGGTAGACTGTGTCTCCTGCAGCAAAGTTACATGAATAGCACATCAGTTGCAAATTGATGCACAAGCATTGGCATAGGAACAAGAACAATGCTTCAAATCTATTCCGCTTCTCTAAGTAATTTAGTGCAATACATATTAATATTTTTGGGTTACCATGAAATCTACCACATGTTGATTTAACATGGAGTTGCAACATACCTGATCAAGAGCATTTCCAGCAGAATCCCAAATAAGGGGGCGATAATCCCCAAGAAAGAACTGCCAAAAAAAGGTATAGACCACCTCATAAAGCAATTACATGACAACTAATATCATGAGGGGAGAAGGGGAAAGAAAAATAGTTAAATAAATAAACAGAAAAAGGGAGATTTAGGCTCAACAAGTAAAGTTCTCAGCTACCTGATCATATTTGGCATCCTTTTGAGACTCGCCCTGGCCAGTGTTAAGCAAATGTATCTGCCCAACTTCATTTGAAAGTACAATCGACGTTCCATCCCTATTAACCAAAGGGGAAAATGTTACAGGTTCTTCACAAGAAAAGCTCTTGAGATTTAATAAAATAGTTCAGATTTCAAATGAATAGGACAAGACATACAAAGATTTTTTTTTCCAAAAAGAAAAGAAAACACTGCTGGTTAAAGCTACAAATATAAACCAGCCAACATAATAAAGCATTCTTGTTGGCTTCTAGCCATTCAGAACTCTAAGAACATGTGTGCACCTCCCTCGCAAGGGTAAAAGTGTCAAAGTCAACACATCATAAAATCCATTCTTTAACATTTTCATGGTCCTAAACTTTTCAATACAACTTTCCAATTTTGCATATAGAAAAAAAAATGTGGAGAAACTTCCTGAAAACCCTGACCCAGCCTTCTATGTTCCTCATGAAACATGAACTTGTGTACAATATCAACAGGACCATATAGGCAAAACGTCAAAGCAACAAACAGTGACAACCTAGTTGATTCACTAATATAATTTGACAAGAGAATATGTGCAGTCAAGGATCATAAAATGGATGGAACCAAACCCAAATATGAAATGCTATAGGGATAAAAGGTAATTGTATGGCTAAGAAGGATTGATGTGATAATCCTTGTCTTGATAGATGAACTTTTACAAGATCAATGAAAGGTGTACGTCATATTTCCAACAAATAAAGCAACAAACTGAAATTAAAGGATGAACATTCACTTACGGAGAAAACTTCCCATCAACCAACTTAAAAAGCCCAATTTCATATATCCGGATGGGTACACCCTCCCATATCTGGAAATATAGTTTCCAAGGAACTCGATAAAAGTCAACACTTACAGAGTAAATAAACAAATAGTTCAGCAGCAAGTCAACAGATCAGAAGAACAGGAAACTCACATCCCAGACTATTGTTTTTCCATCATATCCAGCACTCATTGCAATTCGAGGGTTGAAAGGATGGACATCCAAAACATAAGACTGCCAAAAATTCAAAACCAAAGTTAGGAATTAATTAAATGATTAATTCGATGTCAACCAGTTGACGAGGACATGAATGAGAATACCAGCAACAAGTATGTGACGCAATATAAGAACAGACCAAATAATATATATAGATAGATAGAGATATTTAGAGTGCGAACCAAATAATATTAATTGCATGACATTCATCTTAAATTAGTGAAAAAAATCTGATTTTTGGTAAGCAAGTGCATCATGTTAATTGAGAATACTTTAAGAGTGTAGTTCAGATTAAGCCGATGAAGTTCATTCATGTTATTCACTGGATTGAAAGGAAGAATACTTTCAACTGAATTTAGAAAGAGCTGAACGACAAGGAAGACTTTTTTAAATTTAACCTTAAAGGAAATCATCTCTTTATAATGCTACATTTGGCAGGAGTGTTATTTTTTCCTCGCACTTTAGCACATGAGTTAGCAATAAACTAACTCCACTTGTAAATTTTTAGCCACTCACATGGTTTTTTTTTATAGAAATAGGAGGTCTCATTAAAAACCTCCCTCATAGTTGGCTCTTGTGAAGAGACAACTAGCGGAAGGAGGAAAAGAGTACCTCAATTTATAGATAAACTATAAATACATAAGAGTACATTTACACAATAAACTACCCGAAATAAAACACCAAGCATTACAACAATAAAACTCTACACATTCAACCAAAACCCTCCTTCGCTAACTTATCAGCCTCCCAATTACATTACCTAGGAATTAATCTGACAATAATCTTCCTAGCAGAAACTAGTGCCCCAATTTCCTCGACCATATAACTGAAAAACGTAGGGGCAGAGAACGGTATCAAAATCCAACCCACTGCAGTTTTACAATCGGTCTCTATGATTAGTCTTCCCTTCAAAGCCCATTCAGAAGAAAGGAAAACATCAATTCCTTTTCTAATGGCTTTCAATTCAGCCAAAGTAGGAGGACCTGACCCAACAACAATAGAGAATGTGGTTAAAGTATAGCAATTAGAGTCTATCAAAATTCCTCCAATTCTACCCTGCAACCCATCACCTCTAACTGCCTCATCGACATTGAATTTAAAAAAATCAGGTGTTGGTGGAAGCCAACATTTAACCTTCTTTCCCTTAGAAGATTTAATACGAATCCTGTCTGCAAGCGAGGGATCCCCTACTAGTAAATCTGCCTGAATAGTAACCTGAGGATATTTAGCTAAAAACCATTTAGCCAGCCTAAATCTGGAAATAAAGAACAGAGAAGAACTATCAAACTTCCAATTTTCAAACACAACCAAATTCCTAGCCTTCCATAATGACCAGAAAATAACTCTCGGGATAAAATTCCAAATAGAGGAATAAGGCCTTAGAAAAGACCATGAAGAGAGCAGGGAAGAGGGGTCTTGAGGCAAAACTGAAGAAATATCCCAACACCTTAGGAATCTATTCCACAGCTCCACTGCAAACGAGCATGAGATGAAAAGGTGTTGAATTGTTTCTTCATGCTTCTGGCATAAAGGACAAAGCACATCTTCCAAGGGAACTCCTCTTTTCTTCAACTCCACTCTAACTGTCAATTTCTTATGAGAGATCTGCCAGAGAAATGCTTCAACTCTAGGAGGGGCTAGACCAGACCAAACCCACTTATTCCACTCGAAACTACCTCCCGTTTTGGTAGATAGCATTAATCGACAAGACTTGACAGAGAACAGACCATCACCCTTCCCTGACCAAGCAAGAAAGTCGTCCACTAAGTCATCCAGAACTATATTCTCAATCAAAGACATTAAGGCAACCCATTGATCTAATTCCCAATCGCATAGATTCCTCCTTAACTGAATATTCCAAACCCAACCATTGTTTTCGAAGCTACCAAAATCCGTCACTTTCCCCATTTGATAGTAGATAAAGCAAAAATCCTGGGAAATTGACTTTTTAATGTCGAGTTATTAACCCAAAATCATTCCATAATGCAATTGATCTACCATTACCCAATCGGATCTTCGAATTAGATCTCAAACAGTCCCCTATTTCATCGTTTTTCACATAATTGTTCAGAATACCTCTCCAGATCCATGAGTCTTGAGTAGAGACAACATTGCATATAGATAGAGTCAAGTTAGTTACATTACTTTTGCAACAAAGAAACTTTTTCCATTGAGACTCTTTTTCATTAGCGAATTTCTAAACCCATTTCCCAAGCAACACTCTATTTACCAAGCTTAGATCCAAGACTCCCAAGCCTCCCTCTTCATATGGTTGACACACCGTTTTCCAATTTACCCATTGTATACGTTTTTTTGTTGGACCTTCTCTCCAAAGAAATTTGGCTATCAATGAGTTCAACTTCTGACATACCTTGAACGGAATTTTGAAAATAGATAGGTAAAAAATTGGCAATGAGGATAGCACCGATTTAACCAACACCAATCTTCCAGCCATCGACAATGAAGAAGCTTTCCATCCTGCTAATTTGTTGTTAAACTTTTGGATTACTGGCTCCCATAGAAAATTTGAATTTTTCTTTGCACCAAGTGGTAAACCGAGATGTCATAGGAAAAGATCCCACCCCACATCCTGCTTCACACGCCCATTCTTTTAAGATGTTCTCTTCCACATTAATACCATATAAATTACTCTTAGACAAATTTAAATGAAGCCCTGACATAAGACTGTACACCCTCAACACTCTCCTAATATTTAGAATATGAGTAAGAGAATCTCTGTAGAATAAGATTAGATCATCTGCAAACTATAAATGAGTCAAGTGAAAAGGATTATCTGACCTCCCGATTTTTAAACCTTCAAAAAGACCAAGATCAACAGCCTTAATCAACATTAAATGTAAGAGTTCCCCAACTATATTAAACAACAAAGGGGATAGACTACAACCTTGTCTCAACCCTTTACCCACCTGAAATTCTTCTGTTGGAGATCCATAAACTAAAACAGAGATTGAGGCTGAAGAAACACATTGTTCAATCCATGAAATTCACTTCTGTCCAAAACCCATGACATTCAATAGTCTCAAGAGAATCGGCCATTCAACCAAATCATATGCTCTATGAAAATCAACTTTAAAAACCACACCTTTCCTCCCTTGTTTCCTCCAAAGGTCTATGCTTTCATTGGCAAGAAAAGCACAGTCAAGCAATTGTCTACCAGGAATAAAGGCAAACTGAGAAGGGCTTACTATGCCTTTAATCACTGAAACTAGCCTTCTCGATAACACCTTGGAAATTATCTTGTATAGGCTGCCAACAAGACTTATAGGTCTAAAGTCTTCAATACCTTCAGGATTTAATTTCTTCGATATTAATGTAATAAAAGCATGATTGACCCCATGTACCCACATCCCTCCACTGTGAAAATCTTCCACAAATTTCATGATATGTACCTTCAGTATAGGCCAGAATTTCTTAAAAAAACCCATCGTATAACCATCTGGGCCTAAAGCTTTGGAACTGTCTGAATAGAAAATTGCTTCCCACTTCCTGTTCTGAAAATTTAGCCTCAAGACCTGTCTTTTGCGAATCTGTCGATCTCGCAAAATTAAGGTTAATTTCATCCACCTCCAATGTTGCTTTTGAATTATAATTAACCTTAAAATACTCCAAGATAGATGCTCTAATCTACTCTGGATCTACTATTTCTACCCCATCCACTTTATTCACTTCAATATTGGCTTCTGTAGCCAAATACTTTCCTCCTTCCTACGCAACTTCCACAATTCATTCCTCAATAGTAGCAGCTGATCCCATTCTTGTGTAGAAATCCCCCCACCTTGAAACTTCAATTCCAAGTCATTTATCCTGCCTTCACTTCTGAAATAGCTGCAGAAAATCCATTTGGTTGCTGCTAGGCCACTTTCTAATCACATGTTTGGTGCCTTGTAGTAAACTAAACAATCCCCTTCGCCGATTATCCTTCTTCAATTTCGACAAGGAATTTTCAACCAACCTAACAAATCCATCTTCCTCTAACAGGTAGTTAAATAACCGAAAAGGCTTAGGTCCCCAGTTTTTGCATTCTTCCTCTAACAACACTTGATTATGATCTATAATAGGGATTTGGGTAAAATTTTATGGATCACTTTAGGAAAGCAATTTAGGAAGTTCCCACTTATTAAAAAACGATCGAGCCTTACCCAAGTGGGAGATTCTCTATTATTGCACCAAGTAAATGTACCTCCTACTAACGGGAGATCCGTAAGATTTAAAGGTTGAACAAAGGACCTAAACAAATCCATTGAATGCCAATTTTGTGCCATTCCATTCTTCTCCTGTGGATCGAGATAAGCATTGAAATCCCCCCTATGCAATATGACAGATCTAAACTTTGCACAAAACACCTCAACTCCCTGAAAAACTCCTCTTTATCATCCTCTACTGACGGACCATATACGTTTATTATAACACAGTCAAAATTTACCACCTTGAACTTCCCTGTCAGTGCCATAAATATGCTCTGATTATGTTCTTTATTGACCTCAAAAAAACTTTCATTCCACAAACACAACAAGCCACTTGCAGACCCATCAACTGGCTAAAAACTACCACCTTTCATCAAATTGCTCCCTAACTTCCTCCATAGTCCATTTCGACAACTGTTTAGTTTGGTCTCCTGTAGAAGTAGAAAGGCCGGTTTTTCTCTATTTATTAGTCTCGCCACTGCTAGACTTTTTTCTCTTTTTCCAAGACCTCTAACATTCCAGGAAATAATTTTCATCTTTGACATTTAAATTGTATGACGTAAAAACCATAATCACCATAAGAAAACAATCAAGTTCCCTTTGCTGACCCCTTCAGCTCCATCTTGAAGATCTCCTCTTCTAGTAGTTGTTGCCCCCTTTAAATGTAATCCCCAACATATCACAAACCTCCCTAGAAGCAGCAACTTCATTCCTAGCTTTAACAGAAGAATTGTCAGACTCTAATGATGCCCTATCTTTTTCCAAAGATTCCCTGACTTTACTCCTATATACCCTTCTATAACATCTATCATAAAAACTGATAGATACTTCACCCTCTGAACACACACTTCCTGAACAACGTGGAGCAATTCTCAACTTCCTCTTCTTATTTAAACTTTTAGACAGAGAAAGAAACTGAACCGGAATTTTTGAAGAGGATAACTTATTCTCATTTGCTTTACTCTGACCCTCCTTAATTAACACTGAATTACTTTCATCTTGGTTCACTGAGTTTGTATCTCTTAAACTTGAACTAGAAAATCTACCTGGATTAAGGCTTAACTGAATATTATCCATAACCATCTTCATATTTTTTGAACCAGCTTTTGTTCAACAGACACATTTCCCCTCTCTAAATCTTTAGAAAACTGTGCTAACATGATCTGCATCTCGACTCCTCAGGCCAGCAGATTGCTCTTTATCCTTATCCACCCACTGTTCATTTTGTAACCCTTCTTTCTCCCTCCCTGTGTTTACTCTAATTCGCCTCGTAATACCCTCATCAGCAACTTCCATAGAATTAGCTGAAATGATATTGGGTTGTGGTATAAATCTACCCGTATAATTCTCTTCCCCAATCCACTTTAAATTATATGCAGGCCCACTAGGAATGATTTTCTGTATTGATGAAAAATCAGCCTCATTGTCAACTGATTGAACTTTTTCATCTGATTCATTATTTTCCCTCAATCCCAGACCCACGTGATTCTCAATTTGATGTCTTATTTTCAAAGCAAACTGACATCCCACAATTAGAATTTCTGCATTTGACTTAGTTGATTGGACTTGTCCTCCACTGCCTCCATTCACACCACTATTCTGCCCATTATTCAGCCAAGAAATAACTTTCAGCCTAGACTCTGATATTTCTTGGTTTCCAGCTTTTACCAGCGTAGGACGTCGGCTATCTTCCTCCACAGACAAGACATAATCACTGTTCCATAATTTTAAAAATTTCTCAACCATCTTCGAACCTCTTCTTCTGGTTTTTTCAAGACTAACCCCAGAGATATTTTTACCTTGAACGATCTTCCATAAGAGTTTATTGTAACCGATTCAGGGACATCAAAAGGACTCTCCACCCTGAGCAACACCTTCGCCAACGACAGATCTGATCTGTTTTTTGATTCATCATTAAAACATATAAATTCTCCCCACCGCCCCGTAAGTTTTTTCATGAATGCCTCATTCCAGTTTAATAGAGGCATTCCATACATCTCTACCAGGCAAAGGGCCAATAGAACTCCTTCATCATTCAGCACAGGGGCCAACCAATTGAAGCATAAGAACAACTTTTCTTTCTTATTCATCCAAACATGTGAAAACTCATCAACCGTATTGAATGTAATTATGCAAGCATTCCATGCATAACCCCATCTCGATATCTGGACTTCCACTCCCTCGAGCTCTAAAGTTTCCTTTATCGAGTCCTGCTCAAAAGAAGACTTCATTATCCCTGTTAATGATCGCTTGACCCACTCCGAATTGTCCAACGGTATATGCATCTCCCATACATTCCTCACACCAATTGCATTCTGCTTTAAGCCATCCAAGTTTTCCCCTGAAACTGGATCTCTTCCCATATTATGATCAGTATTCACAACATCCTTATACGATCTGCCATCCCACATGCTCCTAACCGACTCAGCATTCCTCCTGATTTTTGTTGTTTCCTGTTTTCCTGACTTGTTCTCTATCGTCTTCTTCCCTTCAGCAGCATCCCTCCTCCTATCCTTTTGACACTTTGCGTTCCCTACTGAGACTCTTCTTCCATCAATCCACTTTCCATTAACATACTGGATTGCATTCTTTTTACTTTCTTCGCCAGCAAATTGGACAAATGTAAAAGTTGACGACTTGTAATTTGGTTTCTCTAAAATACGTGGGCTATAAATCCTCAGAATCTGACCATAAGGACTAAAATAATCGCTTAACACACCTCTTGAAACCCTCTTGCTAAGATTATCAATGAATATAGTCCATTCCTCATCGGAGATGGACTTTTTCAAATTTTCTCTTAACTCTCTCTCTCTACCTATCGCACTCACATGGTTTGATTTGAACAAAGAGAAGGAATATATATTGTTTATTTTGAAGAGGTATTATTTTTTACTTGAGTTTTACTCATTTTTCTAACTTCAAATTTAGATTTATACTAATTCTTCTTTATGTTATGACAAACTATTTTAAAACTCATGTACTAAATGTAATAATTAAGCTTTTCCCTTATGCTAAACGAGTCATTATAATTGTTTTTTCGTCATCAGCAAGAGGAAAAAGGACAATGCGAAGGGCAGAAAAATGCTAGACACAACTTACTGATGCAACATGACCAGTCAAAGAATGTACCAAGCTTCCGTCAACAGCATTCCACACACATATTCTGCAATCTGAAATAACAACATATAGTTGAGATTCCCCAATTGTCCAAATTAGCAATTTTAAACAAGGTGCTCAAAAACAAGCAAAGACAGCATTTCATCATAACCTCAACAGCAACATTTTATATTTTATATGGGGAAAAGAGAGCATATAAGCTTTAACAACCATACAATAGTCTCAAACTACAGCAAATCCTGACAATTAAAAAAGAAAACACAGCCAGTACCCACGAATCTAGAAAGGCATATAAAATGATGAAGGTTTTATTTTTATAATAGTAACTAAAAGCCTTTGGCTTAAGATTGAGTAGAAGAAAGATTCAGCGAGCTCCAACTTACAGCAGAAAGATTGTAATACGAACATAGGTCCCAAGATACAGTCATATTGATGGTTAAAGGGACAGGAATCATCTCATGATATGTGCATTGCCTCTTACAACTTGCATGTAAAAGTACATGTATCAAAAATAAAGAGTCTACACATAAACTACCAACCCCCAGCAAAAAGGATGGTAGGGTTAACTATAAGAACTTTAAAAAGTAATAATGACAAAATAGCACAACATTTCATTAATAGTCGGTCAAATGCCTTGCACAAGACTCTATTTTCTATCTTCCTTGTATTTTTCCCATTCACAAATTTGCATAGTGAACTTTAATATGTTAAATCGTAACTTTCTGAGAGCAGGTTTAACAGATGCCTTCAAAAGCAAATTTAGAAAAAAGAGATATGCAGTTCTGGAGGGCCTCTTAAGATGGAAAATTCAAAGGAAATTTCAAAATAATTAAGCCACTAAAAAATGTATAGAGCATAGGTTCGAACAAGAGCGATGCAAAAGTAAATGTAGCAGACAAGTGTTTCTAGAATGTTGTGACACAATCTATTGTTAATAAAATCAAAGAACAAACACTAAAGGACACAATAAATACATAATTTCTAGCGATAGAAAGGATGCACATAAACCAACATAAGAAAAGTCATTAGACATTTTTCATTTTGATGAAACAAACATTTTAACTTGATGCTAAGTTTGTTAATTTTCAAACAAACTTTCATGTTTACAAATCATTTCCTTACCCATTATAGCTGCTAGAACAAAACGATTATCAAGGCTCCACACAATCATATTGACACCACGAGGAGTAGGGAGAAGTCTCTGACGTGGGCCACCTCGAATAGGTTGAGGAGATAGCGGGGGAGGTGGAACTTTCAAATGATATGCCTTTGTCCAACGTCCAACTTTTCCCTGTGGAAGTGGAAGGATTGCAAAAGGAATTAAGCTTCATTTGATTTCATATTGTTAAAAGTACAGAATGAACTTCATGGAATTGAAGTTCAAAATAACTCCAAAAGGAGATCACTCAGTTGAAGGCATGCACTAGAACTTGATTGTGGTTTATCAAAACAACTTACATGAAATCTACGTGATCTGGGAATCCAGATTATTGCACTACCATCACGAGAGCAGGTAACAATGTTGTCCTGACAGAACCTAAAAACATTAAAATTGAAGGTGCGAGTTATATTACGTATAGGAACTTTAGTTTTATTAGAATTTTATTTTTTTAATTCTAGTTTTTTATTATAGATAGAGATAACTTCTAACTTAGCTAGAACTCTTACCTTAGCTAGGACTCTTAGTAATATCTTGCATAAAAGCTCTGCTGTAACTATTGATTGAGGTATGGAATTAAAAAAAACAGATTATTTTTAAGTAAATTATCGTTCTACGGAAGGAACTGAATCTAGGAAGCTAGACGCAATATTATACACTAAAATAATGAACAGATGAAGTAAACATCTGAAGAAAGTTTTAAGCAACAATATATAACATAAGGCTAAGCCATGAGAGAGAGTGAGTCTTTGAAATGCAAGTTTTCTGTTGGTAAAGTTAGAGAGGTCCATGGAGGAGAGACTTGGTCAGCATTTGTTGATAATCTCAGCAAGAGAGTGCAGCGTAATGCTTTATGGGATCGTTTTAGTTATTATGGAAAAGTCATTAGGGTGTTCATTCCTTTTGTCAACGATAGACCGAAGTATAAGGTTAGTACGTTTGCGTTTGTCCATTTTGCAAGCAAGGAGGATCTGTGCAATGCAGTGGAAAAGATGAACAACGTCACGATTGATGGAAGGCGAATTTCTGTGACAGTAGCTAAATATGAGAAATTATCTGGGACGAGGAGGCAAATTGCTAGTAGGGTTCAGGGGTTAAATAGTGTTGGAGAAGGAGGGACAAAGGCTGGCAGATTGTCTTCTCCAGTAGGGAGGGTGAGGAAGATGGAGATGATGAACAGGTTTCTTGATGGAAGGACCTTTAAGGATACAATTGTTGGGGTGAAAAAAGATCCAGAGGACGTTCAAGAGGGTAATCATAAAAACAACGAGATGAGAAATCCTATGGAAGTATTTATTCCTGTGGAGGAAAGGGTCTGGTTGAAATCATCTCTTACTGGTATCTGTAAAGCAATTTTTGAAGTAGGGTTTCTGCAAAAAGCTCTAAGGAATGACGGCATTAATGCAAAGGTGGTAAGGTGGGGATGTGCAAGAAATGCTTGTTTGGTAGTTTTCCAATCTGTGAAGGAGAGAAGGATGGCGATGGAAGAAAAATGGGAAGCTTTGTCCTTCTGGTTTGAAAGATTGGATCCTGTTTTGGATGAGGGAAGCATTCCCCCAGCTTATTGTGCAATCTCCATGTTAGGAGTTCCTTTAAATTGCTAGTCGGTTCCTTTCTTTACTAGTTTGGCATCCAGATGGGGCAAGTTAGTGAAGATCAAAGAGGAAACTGCTCAAAGAGTAGACTGCAGAGTGGCGCAGATGCTTCTTAGGGTCGCAAGTCCATTTGATATTCCTGAACACATCATCATAAATACATATGGGAGAAAATTCCTGATTAAAATTAAGGTTGAATGTGGAGACGATTTTTTTCCTGAGTTATCAGAAATAGTTGAAGAGGATGTTCCAGAGGATTCATGGGAGGAAAGCTCCTCGGACTGGAGCCAAGAGGATGTTCAGGCGCAGCAAGAAGGGCACGTGGTTTTGCAGGAGGTGTCAGACAACCAAATCAGGGTAGAGGAATGGGTTAAAGGTTCCCAGCAAGGCAGAATCACAGATTCCGAGGAAGGTTTGAATTTTGGCTCAAATTCAAAAAACAACTTTTCTGCAGAGTTGTGTACAGGAGTGAAAATTATAGGAGATGTCTCCATCAAGCATAAAAAGTCAGAAGGTTTTATTGAAAGGAGAGAAGATGGGCAAAGTATGGGGGTGTTTCCTATGGGCATGACAAAGCTGATTGGGATATCTGGCTTCAGGAAAGCCTGGGAAGACATTTGTTCAGTGGAATGGATCAAGAAAATGGAAGAATAAACATGGGCTGTAATACTCCCATAACAGATAATATTGAGGAGCAGCTTCGGGCTCCTCTGCAGTGTGGGCCTGCAATGATGTCTCAACAAAGAATGCCTGGGAAGAGTGAGGCTGGAAGTAAAGCAGGGAGAGGTTTATGTAAGCGTGTTTATTCCAGATCAAGAAGGGGAGGTGCTAAGAGCTGTGTGGGGACAAGATCAGATTATGTTAATCCAATGGAGACGGCAGGAGGAGCTGAGGCACTTGAGTGCTGGAATGTAAGCAAACTGCTAGGGGTGAAGTTTAGAGGGGGAAAGCAAGCTTTTATGGAGAAAGCAGCTACATTGGTTAAGGAGAGAGAAGCAAATGGGAGTAGTTAAGGGGTATTGGTTTGTAAGGTTTTTGATTGATATAGATGTCAAATTGGAAAGTGTTGTCTTGGAATGTTAGGGGTCTAGGTAGGAGGGTTAAAGCTAGAGCAGTAAAGAGGTTCGTTGTTGATCAGAAGCCCACAATTTTATTTATTCAAGAATCGAAATTGGAGTTGATGAGCCTTTCTTTATTGAGGAAAATGGGAGGGAATTTCTTGACGGGTTCGGCAGTATCTTCAGCTGAAGGAACTGCTGGAGGTTTAATTACGTTGTGGAATGAAAATGAGTGTGTTGTCAAGGAACAAGTCATTCATAGGAGATTTTTGGCAGTAAGGGGAAGTATTGAAGTGTCCTCTGGCCCTTGTTGGTTTATTAATGTGTACGGACCAAGTGTGGAGTCTGAAAAAGAGCTGTTTTTTCGGGAATTGCTTTCCTTTTTGGAAAATACAGACTGCCCAGTGTCTTGGAGGGGATTTTAATGTCGTTCTGTCACAAGACGAGAAGGTTGGTGGTGAAGTAAATTTGGGTTCAATGAATGTTTTTAGACACTTTGTGAGCAATGCTAATTTGGTAGATTTACCTTTGGCTGGAGGTAGATTTACATGGTGTAGCAATAAGGATGTTCCAACCTATGTGAGATTGGATCGTTTTCTTGTGGATCAAAATTTTTTATCTTTTTTCCCAATGATAAGCCAATGTCTTCTACCTAGGTCTGTTTCGGATCACAACATGATTTTGCTGGAAAATAGGGGCTGGAATTGGGGTCCTAAACCATTCAAACTGTTCAATTATGTTATGGAGGAGGAGGGGTTTGGGGAGATGATGGAAAATGAATTGATTAAGTTGTGTAAAGTAGAGAATAAAATACCAATTTCCACTGTGTTAAAAGGGGTGGAGAAAGCTGTGAAGAAATGGTCTAAGAAGGGTTATTTAGAGCTTCCTCGAAAAATTAGTTGTTTGGAAAAAGAAATTCAGAAGTTAGAAATTGATATGCAACAAGGCTCTTCTATGGTGTCCATGCAGCATCTATTGGAGGCGAAAAAACAATTGTGGGATCTCTATAAAATTGAAGAATCGATTTGGTTACAAAAGTCGAGAGTGAAGTGGAGTTTGGAAGGGTATAAGAACACAAGGTTTTTTCATCAATGTGCTAGAGGTAGAGGTAGGAGGAACCATATAAAATCCCTCAAAGTGGGGAATGAAGTCACTTCAGATCCTAGTAGGATAAAAGCCTCAATGGTGGACTTTTTTAAGGCTCTGTTTCAGCAGGGAAATACACTGGAGGTAGACGATTTGGACCTGGAATTTCTTAATCTTTCGAATGAGCAAAGTATGGCTCTTGAAAAGCCATTTTCTGAAGAGGAAATATGGGAAGCAATTGCCAATTCGGATTTTAACAAAGCATCTGGTCCTGATGGGCTAAATTTAGGCTTCTTTAAGAAATTCTGGTCAAGTTTGAAGGAAGTGTTGCTGCTGCTGTTTTTTAGGGACTTTTATGAGGGGAAGGATTGGGATATGGAGATTAACCACTCTTTCATTTCTCTTATTCCAAAGAAGGTCAATCCAGAGGGGCTTGATGATAACTAGAAGGTTGAGTTTATGTATTAATGAAGTTATAAGTCCGTCTCCAGAGGGGCTTGATGATAACTAGAAGGTTGAGTTTATGTATTAATGAAGTTATAAGTCCGTCTCAATTTGCATTCATCCCGGGGAGACACATTACGGATTGCTCCTTTATTGCAAATGAAGGTATTGACTTTTGGAGGAAGAAATGATTGAAGGGGGTGGTATTTATGGTGGATTTTAAAAGAGCTTATGACTCGGTGAATTGGGAGATTTTGATGAAAATAATGGGTAAAATGGAATTTGGAGTTAGATGGTGCTCTTGGATACTTAAATGTGTGTCAACAACTTCTATTTTTATTCTAGTAAATGAGAATCCAATAGAGAAAATTCACCCTTCAAGAGGTCTAAGGTAGGGCTGTTCATTATCTCCGATATTGTTTAATTTAGGGGGGGGAGTTGTTGCATTTACTGTTGGTAAAAGCAGTGGATAAGGGGCTGTTTTCGGGTTTCGAGCTAGGTACTCTAGATCGATCATTCATGTTATCTCATTTACAATTCGCGGACGATCTTATAATTTTCAGCAAAGCAACAATTCGCGATTTGCAAAATGTTAGGAGGTTGCTGTTCATTTTTGAGATTTTGGTGGGATTAAAGCTGAATTTGACAAAAAGAAGAATATTTGGAGTTAATGTTGAGGATGAGGTTCTAGATGCATGGGCTAAGGAGATTGGGTGTTCAATGGGTTCTTTTCCTTCGGAGTATTTTGGGCTTCCATTGGGAGCCAAGAGGAATTCCTTTGCCTTGTGGGAGCCTGTTGTGCAGAAATTCTATAGTTCATTGGCTGGTTGGAAGGCAAACACCCTATCGTTGGCTGGAAGGGTTGTTTTGGTTAAATTCGTTTTGTGTTCTCTCTCCATCTACTTCCTATCTATTTTTCGGATACCAATTACTATTTTCAACAAGTTAAACACTATTATGGCAGGTTTTTTATGGGGAAGTTCGGCAGAAAAGAAGAACATCCATTGGTTGAATTGGAAGTCAGTGTGTAAGCCAAAGAAATTGGGAGGCTTAGGGATTCCGAACTTGCTGCTCTTGAATAGGGCTCTTTTGGGGAAATGGGTTTGGAAATTTGCTTAGGAAAAGAGCTCTTGGTGGAAAAAAGTGGTGTGCAGTGTGAATAATTTGGATACGAATGCTATGATGATTGGGAATAATTGGACAGTTAGAGCTTCTTGGATTTGGAGAGGAGTTATTCAAAATTTCTTTTCTACTGATGATTTTGGGGATTGCCTTAGAAAAAACATGTGTTTGAGAGCTGGAAATGGAGAATTAGTGGAGTTTTGGAATGATACATGGTTGGGCATTGTTCCTCCAAAGGGCTTTTTAAAGTTGAATGTGGATGCGACAGTGACGGCAGACTAGAGGAAAAGTGGTGTTGGAGGCATTCTTAGAGTTGAGGATGGTTCGGTGGTTGGTTCTTTCAAAGAGGCTGCTGGTCCAGGTCCTCCTATCTTGATTGAGCTTTTGGCAATCAAGAAGGGATTATCCTACTTTACTTCGATTCAACAACGTTTTAAGGAACGTTTAATCGTTGAATCTGACAGTAAAATAGCAGTTGATTGGGTCAAGAATAAAGAACGATGTCCTTTGGTCTACATTTAGTGAATGATATTGGTGATAAGTTTAGAGGTTTGAATGGTATTATTAGATGGGTTGCTAGGTCAGCCAATGTTGAGGCTGATACTCTAGCAAAGGAGGGTATTGGATAGATACATTGTTCTGGTTGATTCAGGTTATTTTTCGCTTTGTTTTGGGATGTTGTTAAAGGAGTCTGTGTGGTAGTTTTTAAGTATTATGTAACTGGAGGTTATTAATGAAGTTTTTAGGCACTCTTTCCTCCTTCCGCTGATTAAGGAGCACATTGTGATCTTTTAATCAAGAAGGGGGTTTTAACGAGGCCTACCATTCCTATCAAAAAAAAAGGGGCAAAGTAGCAGATTTCAAAGTGAACAATAATTTAGGATGGGTGTGGGATATACAAGTGAGAAGAAATTTGGTACATTGGGAGGTTGAGCAATGGTTGCAACTTATTTAATTGTTGAATAGTACGACTCTCATTATTGGAGGAAGATTGTTGGATATGGTTAGGTAATGGTGAGGGCTGCTTTTCAGCTAAATCGTGTATCACAAGGTTTTATGATCAGGAGGGTAATGAGGGTGAGGAGGGTAATTGGGAGGCATGTTTGGGCAGGGGTTGCTCCTCCACGGTTAGAAGCTTTTGTTTGGCAAGTTGCACATCAAAGAGTAGCAGTGAAAGAGGAGCTGTCGAAGAGAGGAGTGGCTGGGATTGAGGACCTCTTATGCCCGATGTGTGGGAAGGGGGAGGAGTCGATTTCACATTTGTTTTTGCATTGTGAGGTGGTTTGGGTTCTATGGTTTAGATTTTTGAGGGGCTGAAATGTTTCTTTTGTGGTTCCTAATAAGGTGATTGACTTCTTAATTTTGTGGGATGAGTTAATTCCGAGATCTACAATTTGGAAATTCATTCCAAGGGCGGTGTTGTGGTCAGTTTGGAAATGTAAGAACGAGATTATTTTCCAGAAAGGGAAAGTGGATTCTGCACTGTTGTTCTTTCTTGCTAGATTCAGAACTGTTTCTTGGTTTGGGGCGAGATTCAAGGATATTAATATTTCTTTCGATTCTCTAGTTGGGGATTTAAAATTGGCAGACTCGATTGGAAGATAGAATCATAGGAGCGTTGCTACTTCTCGGTGGGTACCTCCGCCAGAAGGTTTCATTAAACTTAATGTTGATGGGGCAATGGTTAAGGGATGGGACAAAGGAGGAATTGGCGATCTGATTAGGGATGACAGAGGTTTGCAACTAGGAACTTTCTCTGAAAAAATTGGAGGACCTCCTATTCTTGCAGAGTTGTTGGTGATCAAAAGAGGTTTAAGTCTCATTGAAGAGTTGAGATCTTTTCCAACTCAGAGGATTATCTTGGAATCAGACTCGACCACGGCCCTCAAGTGGATTCAAAATCCAGATTGATGTATCCCGTTGTTTCAGTTCTTGGTAAGAGGCGTAGCTACTTATGTGGAAGGAAAGGGTATCATCTCAAGACATATTGTGAGAGCTGCTAACTGGGAAGCGGATGAGTTGGCAAAAGCTGATATAGGATGATCTGTGGTTATGAGTTATAGTTATTAAGCTGGGGTGTTCATTGTGTTTTTTAAGGGGTTTGGTTTTTAGTGTTGTAGTTTGTGTTTAGGTTGTTAAGTCTTATGTTATAAGCAGACCATGGTTATAGATTGGTTGTATGTTATGTTCAAGATTAATATAATTCAGAGGCGCTCTTTTCCTCCTTCCTATGTCCTTCATGTTACTTATATAACATGTAGGATATGAAGGGGTTTTTTAATGAGGCCTATATTCTATAAAAAAGACAATATATAACATAACTTAAGAAGAAGATATAACAGACCAGGAATTTTTAAATTTTGGAAGATTGTCCTCCTTTATGATATCAGACATTGAGGATCTTGAAGGTACAGCACATCCACTGCAAACAAAAGCAGAAAACTGTAATGATATTTTGCTGAAAACAATGGTAAAATAAAAATAAAACAATATGGCTGGCAACTCTAACTGAACAACCTAAATTGAACGTAATTAACATCATTTTCATGGCCAGCCAAAACATCCAGCTCATGAACTGGTTGTTGTGAATCATCGGCACTAGGCTTATAGGCACTCCAGACCTGCATGCAAGTATCTATCTCTTAATAAAGAAATCTAAATGATATAGATCTATCAAAGTTAAATAAATTTAAGTGAACTAAAAGATGCATTTGACAAGTTCACATTGTTTTAGACGCACCCTGGCAAAAGTGTCAGAGCTACCAGTGACAAAAACTGTCCCATTGACGTTAAATACACAACATAATATTTGATGGGCTTGTGGGACATTACTTGAGGAAGGTCCATTATTAGACGAAAAATTGCTACTCCCTGCAAAGAACTCATCAGTGTAAGTTCATAGCATATACAGTAACAAAACAATCAAGAAGAAATTCATGAACCAGTGGCAACTTCAGAAGGCTTTGGTAGGTATATGCGTGGGCTACAATGTGAATATCTGGCCTCCCAGATTCTGCAAGTCCCATCGTCAGATGACCTACAAACGTTAGCACAGAATATATAAAATTGGCGATCAACTGAAGATCCATAAATTTACGATTTGTTGTTCCAAACCAAGTACGATAAATAAAGTGTCAACACTAGAGACACTAGATCGATAACTTTCCAGACAAGCTTCTTAGAATTAGAAGAAACATGTCAAAAGCAAATGAAATTAAACCTAAATAAAGGACTCTAGTAACAGGAAATGGAAACTGTGGAAATAAGACTCACGATAAAAGCTGGAAAGCAAATGCAGGCCTGGGATTAAATGCAATGGCAGTAACAGCTGCAGTATGCCCTCGAAGAACCGAAACTGGCAACCCATCTGGCAAGCGCCACTGTAGATAGTAAAGAACAATTTAGCAATGGAAAAGTTTTATGAGGAGCATCTTGTAAATCATGGTTAAGCATTCTTACAACTCGTATCAAAAAATCATTTGAAGCAGATGCAACCAAAACATTGTTCGAACTAACAGCCAGGTCAGTTATGTCACCCTAAATTGCATGTAACAGGAAAATATCTTCAGCTAATGTAGAGAAAGAAATAAATATTACAAGCTAAACTGATATATTAAGAATAGCATATATAGAATAAACAATATGAACCCACTTCATGTCCACGGCAGCTGGCCAAGCAAAATGCAGTTTCCATAGACCAAATTTTGACAAGGCGGTCATCAGAACCAGTAATTACGTATCTCCCGGTGCGATCAAATATGGCTGTAGAACAAAAACAATATTGTTTGATCCATTATCTATTGAAGCTTTAGCAATTGTACAAAGTACAGATAATTCCTGCGACTTAATATGGAGTTTCATAAGGAGAAAAGGATGAGAAATTAATCATGAAGGGGGGTTTTTAAATGAGGCCTACTATTCTTTTTTTTTTTTTTTGATAGAATAAGGCCTCATTAAAACCCCCCTTCTTATCCTACGTGTTACAAACATAACATGAAGGACATTGGAAGGAGGGAAAGAGTGCCTCTAACTTTTATTAATGAGAACAATAATACACCTCCTCACCTAACAACATCTTACAAAACAGAACAACCATGATACTGAAAGCAAAACACCCTAATACACCCTAAATAGTAACAACCGAGACATAACACCTTAACAATTACACAATCCTAAAGTCAGCCTATGCCAGCTTTAGCTAATTCATCAGCTTCCCAATTAGCTGCTCTCGAGATGTGCCTTGTGATAATACCCTTCCTCTCCACAGTAGAAGCTATATCCGTTACCAAGGTTTGAAACAAAGTAGTACTAAGATTCGGATTATTAATCCACTTCAGAGCATTAGAAGAATCCGATTCCAAAATGATCCTCTGATTTGGACAGGAAATCAACTTCAACTTCCTCAATAAGAATCAACCCTCTATTGATAGCCAAAAGCTCAACAAGTAAAGGAGGACCTCCCCCTACCTTCTCTGAAAATGACCCAAGCACCAACCCACTACCATCCCTATTCAAGCCACCTATTCCACCCTTATCCCAATCTTTAACCACTGCACCATCAACATTTACTTTATCAAAAAGAAAAGAAAAGGATGAGAAATATAGTAGCATTATTTCTCTTCTAGTAAGAAGAAAAGCTAGTAGTGAGTCTTTTCAATTATCTTAATATAAATCCACACATTTAGTTTACCACTTGGCCCTTAGATATTTAGATAACATAGATCTTCCAAATGGTGAACTTGAGGTGTAGAAGTACTTGGTGAAAATAACATTGCTCAGAAAGAGTTTTTCCACGAAATAAGATCCAAGTAATTTTATAGGTGCCAACATGGCAATATAAATTAGAGGAAGTGTAAGGGAATGAACACCATATAAGAAAACTTCAAATTTCAGGGAATAACTAGGGTATGCAGGAATGAAAACTATTCAATAGCTTCTGAAGTCAAATTCTTTCCTGGGCATATGAAGTGCAAATGCATAAAACAAAAATTACCAAATATAATATTATAAGCTATACTCCAAAAATAAAATATAAAATATGATCTTCAAAAATCATATACTTGGGGGGGGGAGCAAAAGTAATCAAGATATGAAAAATAGCCTAAGTTAAGTGCAAAAGGTCACAATTTAACTCATTAAATATATCAAAATTACAAAGCATAATTTTTAGTTCAAGCATTTCCTTCTCATGCAACATCAATATCTCACTAGAACTATCTCGTGTTCCAATCAGCAAAATCAGTAAAAGGAAAAAGATGAATGAATGAATGAATGAATGAATGCTACAAGCATAGAGGTAAAAGAGACATATATCATCATCTTTTACAGAAGAATACTTATGCACTACATCACCATTATCACTGGTGCTGTCGAATATCAAGGGTTTCTTTAGATTCCGACAAAACTACCATAGGAACATCAACAGGAATAAGCAGATCCTAACTATAAGTTCAGTTGATCATACCACAATAGACAGCATTCCGATGCCCCCTCAACTTTTTTATGTTCTGCATCTTTTGCACCATGGTAGATGGTTTAGCAATAGCATAACATGCTGACCGAATAGAGGGAGCTCGGTGGTGCTTCCGGAAGCCTCCCCCAATTTCTCTTATACTTAACCCACGAACTTGATCAGCTTGCATATGAGGCCAACGAAGATAGGCAGGCATAGGCTTACCCAGCCTATTCCTCACACTCTTGTCAGCTACTTAACAGAAAGGTAAAGTTGCCAAATCAGAAACCAACAGATAGAGCAATACTTTGATCATACTCATACAAAAATGATCATTCCATTAAATGTTCTTAACATATTTCCAAAATCAGAATACGAATACTAACTACCTTGAATACAATCCCAATGGAAAAGTTGCAGGAGGGAGGGGAAAACAGAGAGAGCATAAAGTACACTACTATGAAAGTACCACATACAATTCAAAAGTGAAAAGGAACTAGATCCCAGTAATGTAGGGACATCAGCAGCATTTAGAGAATGAGAATCTCCTACAGCTTTGCTGCAAGGAGTACAGAGTAGTTGCTTCAGAAGCTTTAACAAGTGATCCTGCTCTACATGAGGGTACCTGCAAGTTTTACAAGGTAGAACTCAGTAGTTTGGATATTAAACCAAAATCAAACAATTAATAAGGACATAAAAAGAAAATATTGCTTCTGGGAAATCTAGTCTATATAAGCGGGTTTAAATAAGATGTGGAGTTAAATATAGTTCCCAACATTGATTTATTAATCTTATTTTCAATTTAGATGATACGTTATATAATCAATTAAAGGGAAACCAACCATTTCTAATATCTATCGGGTAATTATTAGGGAAAGGCTGATTAAGACCTGTATTGTTGAAGAACAACTAACCAGCAAGTAAGTACAGATTTAAAGGGAAAAAACGGAGTTAGGTTAGGTGATACTAAAATTTGAGTTTATAAGTAGCTTGCATTAGCTAATACAAGCAAGATAAAGCTATTGTGATTTCAAACACATGAGGTATAAAGATTTTCAATAAACAGAACCATGAAGTTCAAACCCTTGTTTAAAATTTATGGTTAACACCAAATAATACGAGATGCGGATATACCTCTCCACTAATTTGTTAAAACTTAACGGGAATGAGATGCCATCATCATCATTGTTCCCACTATGATAACCACTTCTTGAAAACCAAGCATGATATCTTCTGGGTAAAAGCCGATGTTCCAAAAGTTCCTTTGATAACAGCTCAAAAGTTCTCTGGCAAGGACCAGCTGAAAGAAATTGCATTATCAAGAAGTAAATTTCTCGAAGGTCAATATCAACATTAGTCTCAACCGGATCCTTCTCTGGCATTGTAGTAGAGACATTTAAAGGTGCCTTGCGAAGAGAAGACGCAGCAGCAGAAGATGAACACTTCCAGTCCATGTTTCAGTGCAACCCAACCTGAGGTATCCAAAAAATAAAATAAAATCCAAAAATCAAATCATTATGATAGTTATTAGTTGTATGCGTCATTAATGATCGTTAAGAAAAAAAACCCTAAAATACTCATAAACTGAGGATGTTCCACAGGGACTGGAACCTCAATTTATGGACAATTATGGCCTAATTCTCAACAAATTTATTCTAGTAATCGTTGTCCTAGCGGGAATTTAATGACGTGTATAAAATTACATAACATTTCAAGGGTGATAAAAAAAACTAAGATGATAAAAAAAACTAGGAGGGATAAAAGGTATTAATTAAAATTTCAAGCCTTCAACTGGTAGAGGTAAATAACTGCCCATCCTCCAAATTGCAAGCCATATCCATGAGCAAATCATTCAACAAACATAAAATTCAAGAAATGAAAAACAAACAGGGAAGAAAGCTAGCCTGAAAAAGGAAATAAGCATCAAAACTGGAAGGTATTAACACAAGCAAGGACAACAAAAGCAAGATTAAAGAGTTCAATTCAAGATCCAATCTAGAATCCACATGGCAAAAAATAAAATAAAAGCAGCAAGGGAGAATCTAGACCTAACATCAAATTCATCATATCCAAAGAAATGAAAATTAAAAAGTTCTCGTTACCTTAAATAGAGTCAGTCCAGATAAGGAAACATCGACCAAGAGCCTTCTTCCTTTACTTGGCAGCACTAATTTCGAAGAATTCGATTAAGTAGCCGAAAAACTTATACATTATGGAGTTTTGGGGTTTCAACTACTACTAATTGCTGTTTGTTTTCTGGGAAAGTTAGCCCCGAAAGAATTAAATGAACGGAAATGGAGGGATATTAAAAATGTAAAATAATGCAAAAACAATATTTTTTTTTGTCGGAGAAAAAGAAATTTAGGACAAATCTTGAAGCTTTGTTAATTTAGCAAGCCACGAAAAATATTTAATACACTAGTAATGTAATAGAACAGGGGAAAAGCGATTTTAAGGCACTTCGAGTTCATTATATGCGAAAAGACGATAAAGTCATGGCCGAGGTTAATACTTTCTTGAAACGATTAGGGTTACAATTGACTTTTCGAATAAATAAATTTGTTCGATGAATTGAGAAGTCATAAATTGATTTTTTTGCATCTCTTTTCTCATTCCATTTATCTATTTTGGGCTAATTAACTAACGTCGTTATTTTGATGAACTACACCCACAATCACCAGACTATTAGTTAAATTATATTTTGGTCATTGGATTAAAAGTAATTTTATTAGTTGATTAATTATTTTATTATTATTTCATTCATTTTATAATTAATTTTAAATAGAAAATAATATGATCGTTAAATATTTGACATATGATACATTTAGGCATCATATTTAAACTCTTTATTAATTTGTTTCATTATTATAAATAAAGGTTAAATTATCTCTAAGGTCACTAAACTATTAGCTTGATTTTATTTCAATCATTGAACTAAAGAATTTATCAATAAGGTCATTAAACTATTGACTTGGTATTAACCACTAAACTTAAAATTTTCAATTAGGTCATTAAATTTTCAATTTGGTGTCAACTATTAATGGAATTATTGATATGTTAATTAAATAAATTTATATGATAATACATGGGCAAAAGTTGCCAAATAATGTGGTTTGGGATAATTTTTCCTAGAATAATCCAGTTGCAGATTATTTCCACATCTAGGGTGTTTTCTACAGTACAAGGCTAAAGTCTCCAGGATTTCTCGGCGTCTTCAGGCCAACCAGGAAGACTCTAAGATTTCTCGGCGTCTTCAGGGTTTCTTCATGCAATGTAAAAGGCTTTGGGAAATCTTGGCATCTTCAGCACTGTTGCATGGCGTGGAAAGCTGCATGGCGTGGAAAGCTGCATGGCGTTGAAAGCTGCATGGCGTGAAATCTCTGCATGCATGCAGAGCTTTGAGGATCGGGCGAAGCTCTGCATGTTGGTGTCATTATTGGGCATCAATAATGGTGTCATTATTGTGCACCAATAATTCAAGCCGGTCAGATTTATAAATATGGGGTGTTGGGAGTTCGGGGGAGAAGGGTAGAGTTAGAAAAGAAGGAAAGAAAGCTTGCATGGCCGAGAGAGAGTAGGGGGAAAAGGAGATAAAAAAGTTCGAACAAAGGAAGAAATAATTCGAATATTTGGTAAGTTTTATGTAAATTTTATTGTTCCATTATTTTTATTTTAAATTTGATGTGTATATCTTTGTTAAAAAACCAATGTTTTTATAGTTATCTTATTTATTTGCATTGTTTTTTTCCCGATATTGTTATGAGCTATACAGTTTATGTAGGTTGCAGGTTTGAAAATCGTATATGTTATAAGTTTTACATCTAGTGCTTCTGTGGCTCTTTTTACTGATATTCCAGTACCGAATTCTATTTTCTAGCTTCACAAACTTAATCGTATTTGAGTATTATTGTTAATTTAAAATTTTTAAATTTAAGTTTGATTCCTATTTTAAAAAAATAATTTAAATTTTTCGTATATTTTTTCTCATTAATTCCTATGAATAAAATAAATAAATAAATTTTTATCGTTAATAGAATTAAAAAATTAAACACTTCAATAAAGCATTTGTAGTAGAAATTTTAAGATATTTAGATGAACATATTTGATTTAATATTTGTAGTAGAAAAATAATATTTATTATAATGACAAAAAATAATGACACTGGTAATTAATTATCCATTAATAACTCGGGTAGGTTGGTGGTTATTAATTATCCATTAATAACCCGAGTACATTAGTGGTTGAACGGGAAAAATATAATGAATTAGAGAGTAATAAATTCGAAGTAATAATAAGTAGTTATAAAAAATCCGAAGTAATAAATTTAATATTTGTAGTAGAAAAATAAATTTTATTATAATGACCAAAAATAATTGCAGCATTAATTATCCGTTAACAATATCAATAGGTTGGTGGTTAATAATTATCTATTAATAACTCGGGTAAGTTGGTGGTTGGTGGTTATTAATTATCCATTAATATCCCGGGTAGGTTGGTGGTTATTAATTATCCATTAATATCCCGAGTAGGTTGGTGGTTGGTGGTTGCACGGGAAAGTATAATGAATTAGTGAGTAATAAATTCGAAGTAATAATAAGTAGTTATAAAAAATATGAAGTAATAAATTTAATCATTATTATAATGTAATCATAGTATTTAAGCATTACTTTTTAAAAAACAAATTGTTAACATATTTACATTTATTAATTATAATTTTGTAAATAATTTATTTTCATTATAATTATAAATGTAATTTATTCTGAATATCTATATTTTTACGTGTAGAGAAAATGAGCAATAAATTTTTCACGATTGTCCATTACAATGAACATATTATGGAAAATGAGGTCGGAGTTATTTTTAGTCTGAAACACCTATAAATATGATGTTTAAAAGGGACATCAAATTTGTAGAGATGAATGAGATGATAGAAAGAAAAATCCGAGCTAAAGTTGATGGTTTGAGGTACAGATTTATGGTATGTCCCAATCCTGTCAGGTATGTTGCAGTACCACTTCAAGAAGATGATGATATTAAAACTATGGTTGAATTACATGACTCAACAAATATTCCAATTATTGAGTTATTTGTTGAGTTGTGTAATATATCTAATGTGTCTGGGTCTTCAAGAAATGCGGTTGGAACTTCATCTCAAATGGCTTTCGAGAGTCATTTTGATAACCTAACATATAGGTCAATGAACAACTTTGAGGAGATGTTGGAAAGTGCAAATGAAGTTGGTTGAACATCTGGAGTCGCATAATATGACGCTGAAAACCGCTAGGAAGAAATACTTGATGATTCCAGTGAAGATGAAGAAACTGGGGAACCCCTTTTAGCTGAGGATGATGATATGTTCGATGGTGATGAAGCTGATATCAATATTGATGAATATCCGACATTGTATTAACCTACCCATCACATGCAGGAAATTGATTATGAAGCAATGAGGGCACCTGAATTCCCTGAGATGCCACATTTAACTTCAGGCTACATGATTGAATCGTCAGATAACTTTGGTGAATTATCAGTTGGGAAGAAATACAGAGGAAAAAAGAAGTTACACTAGCGATTAAAGAGTATTGCATAAAAGCCCATGTAGATTGCAAGGTTGCAGAGTCCAACCAGAAAACTCTGTACGCGAAGTGTGTTAAATATGGGCTCGAGTGTAAGTGGCCGATCAGAGTGTCCAAAATGTAGAGGTAAGATGATTGGGGTCATCACAAAGTACAATGATCCATACACAAGTTTGCAAAACTCTATCGAACAAGACCATCGACTATTGGACTCCGATATAATATGTCAATATGTGAAGGTGTTGGTTGAACAAAATCTAAGGATCCCTTGCTAGGTGTTAGTTGCATCTATTCGAGACCAGTTCGGATACAATGTAAAATCTAAGGAGGTTGATATATTGCAATTGGGATACATCATACAATGAGTTACCTGATTTGTTACAAGCTATGAAACAATTCATACATGAAACCATCGTGAAGTCTCAGACCATGCCTGCGTACAACCGAGAAGGTCAACTTCTTCAAGGGAAGAGAATATTCCATAGACTCTTATGGGCATTCAAGTCAAGCATAAAAGGTTTTCCATTTTACAAACGTATGGTCCAAATAGATGGTACGTGGTTATAAGGTCAATACAAACATATATTATTGATAGCAGTTTGCGCAAGATGGTCAACGAAATATATTCACAATTGCATTCGCCATCGTTGAATGAGAGACAACAGAGGCTTCAGACTTCTTTCTGACTAATCTACGTAAGTATGTCGTCCTAGACAACATTTCTCTTCAAACTATTTTAGTAAATACCTAGCGATTGCTCATCGTACATCATTTGTTTATCATAGACAAGGTTGTCGACGACGGTAGTCGTTAACGATCGATGACGGAAACCATAGTGACCAATGATGGTGACGAGTGACTGTCAATAACCGAGAATTTGATTAGATTTAATGGTTAAATTGATGTTTTATCTAAAGTTCAAGGATTAAGTTGATATTTTATCTAAAGTTTAAGGTCAAATTTATATTTTATCTAAAATTCAGAATTCAAATTAAAATTTAACCATTTTACTAAAATATTACGCTAATGAACTAGCGGGAATTAATGTGCAAATGATTAAAATGTAATAAATCGATAACATAATTAATCAGAACGTAACTTTCTCACAACCAGGGATTAAATAAGAGAAACAAAAAACAAAGAGATAATTCTTATAATTTACCCAAACTATTTTTACCCACAATAAAACCCTCGTTTAACCTCAAGAAACACAGGTGGCGATGATGTGAATGCACTCCTGTCAAAAATTAACCCTCGAAAAGACAACACCCCTTCAACCCTCGTAACAATTATTTTTAAGTAAATTACGCATTTAATATGTAAACTATTAATTTTAGACTTTTTAGTATCTAAATTTTTATTTTTTTTAAAATCATACCTAATGTTAGTTTTTGTTTCATTTTAATACGCATCGCTAAAAATTTAACATATTTAATACCTAAACTATCAGTTTTGATCGATTTTAGTACGTAAACTTTCAATTTGTTTTAAAACTTAATGTTTTTCACAGAATATTAATAGAAAAATAAAAACTAAATATTAGATATTATTTTAAAAAAATTAAAAGTTTATATATATTAAAATAGATCAAAATTAATAATTTATATACTAAATACATAATTACCCTCATGTTTTTTTAATTTGTTCTCTCCAACCAATCTTAATCCAAGCAACCAAACCCCCCCCCCCCATATTCACCTATAAAATCCTCCCTCACACACTACCTTTCCCATGCTTCTTTGATTTCACTTTTTGGTCGCGCGCGTCTTATACTCTCGGTTTCTCCTAGCGTTCCCTTTCACCAACCAGCTAAGTGTTCTTCATTTTCTTCTTCCTTTCCCGTCATCGTTTTTCATTTATGTTTCCCGATAGATCTACGGTTTCTTTTGGTCCTTTGTTAATTTCCGGCAGTTGATTCTCACGCCCGATCTGCAATTTGTAAAACAATCTCAATGTTTTTAGATTTTCTATGAACTCAATCCTCATGCTGCGAATCCGTATTCTTCACTCGTTCTCGGTCGTCTTCCTTTACTGGTTCTACGTTTTCTCGTGACTTAGCACGTCTTTGTTCATCGATCTTGACTTGAAATTTAAAATCCCTTATTATCATTCAATTTCTCAATTAGAATTTAAATACGAAACCTTCTCTATATGGATCCTATGCAAAGGCCAGCGAGTTCTTCCTATTCCGATATTCAATACGCAAATATCGACGAGAGGAAAAGAAAAAGAATGTTGTCGAACCGTGAATCTGCGAGGCGGTCGCGTATTAGGAAGCAGAAGCAGCTCGAAGATTTTTTTAAAGAAGTGAGCGCTTTGCAGAAAGATAACGGTCAGCTGTCTGAGAAGATCAATGTTGCGACTCAACGCTATATCGAAATGGAGAACGCCAACAACGTGTTGAGAGCTCAGGCAAGGGAATTGACGGAGAGGCTGCGGTCCCTGAACTCGGTGCTGCACATTGTGGAAGAAGTCAGCGGGTACGGAGTTGATATACCGGAGATTCCGGATTCTCTGATGAAACCGTGGCAGCTCCCTTGTCCGATACAGCCAGTTATGGCGTCGACCGACGTGTTCGAGTGCTGATGGAATAATCATAGACCCTTTTATAGTTCGGCAGATGTGGATCCTTCATTGGAGTAGTTTGTTTTCAAATATCTCAAACCTTTAAACGATTATTATCAAATGATTAAGAATCTTTCAAATAAATATTCCCTTATAATCATCCAAACACATTAAAAATATGTGGATCCTTCGTTGGCGTTTGTGTTTTTGAGTCATTTGTGCTTTTAGATCTATGCAACTCTCTGATAATATAATATGTAAATTAGAAGTATGTTATGGGGAGTCTGTTGAATTGGGATTCTGGTTTCGTAGGATTTTCTACTATGGAATGTTGGTTTTGGATTTCAATGCCTTGCTCTTTTGTTGTCAATTTCTTTGAGGTAATGTGTTGATTTGGATTAATTATTGGTTAGAGACGTAGAGTAATCGAATGTTCGTTTGTATTGGCCTCAATTGTCGGAAATAATGCTTGTAATGATGTATTTGAGCCAATCAAGCAATTAATAATAATAATAAACCAATCAAACAAGTAATTGGAAATGATAGAATCACAAGTAATTAAAACATGGAACCGAAATTTAGAAGGCAAGTAGTGATATAAAATTATGGCCTAATGATATTTTCTCTCTTAAATTTTTAAAAATTATTATTTTTATATATTATATATTTTCTAATATTTAAATTTAAATTTTTTAAATTAAACCAATCTATAAAAATAATAAATTTTATTAAATTGATGTAACTATTTTATTTTTACCAATAATGACTTCTTATATATAAAAATAAGAAAAAAGAAAATATTAAAAATATACAATATATTTCAGTATTTAAAAGATTGCAAAAATTACAAAAGTTGAAAAATATGGAAAAGCAGCTTTATTTTAAGTTGCGGATGAAAAAAATAACTTTATTTTAAGTAGTGGATAAAAAAATTCAGTAAACCGGAATTTATTGAACTGAATATGGAGGGTATTTCCCATTTCAAAATTATCAGGATACCAGCTGTCATACGTTACTTATAATTTACAGTTTTGTCGGAGTAGGTCAAAATACATTATCCAAATTTGTTTGGAGGTGGAAATGGAATTGCCACATTAATCACGTTGGGTTTGTACGTCCTTTATTATATTATAATGTATGCAATGAATGAATCAATAAGCATATTGCATACGATTGCAACTTTCACGTTTTATTATAACTTAATTCGCCGCTTTCCCTAGGTTTTTCCATATTTTCTTTTTCTTTTTGAGCCGCATTTTTATTTATTTTTTGTATTATGTATTTATTTATTTATTTATTTTTAGTTTTCAATAATCCTGCGCGTGCAACACATTTTCTTTGTTTTTATAATATGTTTTCGTCTATCTTTTAACATGTTTTCGATCATTAGGCCGTTCTTTTTGTTTTTTTTTTGTTAGGGTGGAATTTGTTGGAAAATAAACTACTACAAAATGAGGCATTAGCACTGACTAGAAATATATAAAATGAAATATATAAATCAAAGAACCGATCAACCGTGTCGTGGTATTAATCATTGCCTTAGAAGTGAATTCATCCTTATGTGTGTGATCACTACAATGGACGAATGGTCTCTCGAGATTAGCATGAATCTCCAAATTTTTTACCACCGAAAGATGAAGTGGACTCTTGTAGTACTGCTCTTCTATTAACTCAAAACAATACTCAGAAAAGATTTATGAAAACTAAAAGAGTGTTTCCAAAGCAAACATTTGCTTAGGATAATACAGAAATTCTCTTGTAGTGCCATATGAAATGGAAAATAAACATCCATATATAGTCTCGACATAGGAGTTAAATAGTAAAAGATCCAATAACAATTACAAGGTAATTAATTATTACAAACATTATTTTAATGACTATAAACTATATTAAATATTTTGTAACAACTATAAATGGTAAAATATAGATTGATAAATATTTTCTCAGAATGATCTTGTCTAAAAAAACACACACACACAAACCAAATCGGACCACGCCGAACGATTCTTACCCAATGTGAAATTCTTTGTATTACCAACATTCCCCCATTAATACAAAAGAGTTCTTTCGTAAAAACGAGAAATTTGAAGTTAAAATACGAGAAGAGCAATAACTAGATTAATTGCTTTAACATTATTGAACATTTCTTGAACTAGTACATAGTGATGATGAGTAATTATTCTCTTAGATAAGTGAACGAATCTTAAATTTTCTAAGACTAAAGTGAACTCATAACACGAAACTAACATCTTTTTCCATCGAAGTCCTCGATCTCAATGTGTCTATAAAGTATATATACGAATATATATATATATATATATATATATATATATATATATATCTTTCCTCCGGATTCTAGTAAGTGTACTTGAAAAACAACCCAACGTTTTAAATAAGTTTATCTCAACATAAATCGCCCGAATCTAGGCTATGAAATAATTAAGAGCTTTTACAACAACTCATCCTCACAATAAATAAGGTGAATTCCGTCAAGTTCATTTTAAATGAACCACCGAAACTCTAGGATAAGAAATCATTAAGAACAAATACTCAACCTCTTTAATCAATGAATTCAATAAGTCCTTCTCAAATAGGATCACCAAAAAGCTTGGGTTTGAATTTAGGCATAATATCAAAATTCACCCTCAAAATTTACTAAAATGGTCATTTTGCCACTTATTATATTTTTTGGAACACTTTCCCCCAACATTTCATTTTAGGTAAAATTTGATAAAATAATCACTTTGTCCCTTATTCTTTTTTCTGGGGCATTTTTGCCCTTAACGTTTCATTTTAGGTTAAAAACTCTTATTTTGTAGCATTAATCGTATGTTAAATAATAATTTTCATCTATAGATGGAGCTTTTTGCCCCAAAGTGAAGCATTAGGGCCAAAATGCTCCAAGAAAAAGAATAGGGGTCAAAATGACCATTTTTGTAAATATTGGAGGCTATTTTTGGTATTATGCCTTGAATATATTAAGAGTTTAAGAAAACTCATCATCTTTAGCGACAAGTTCATCCATCCATTCGCTATAAGACTACCCACTCAATGTTGGGTTATGAACTTATTAAGAGTAGGTATTCATTCAAAATGAATAAATTCATCAAGTCATTCTCATTAAGACCACTTAAATCATCGACTATGAATTTATTAAGAGCAATAAAGCTATCATGTGCATGTACATTATTCGTAATAGGAATAGAAAGAAATAAATGAACATTATGAGTCTTTGCATGACTTCGTTTGATCACATTGAACTTAGATAACTAAGTTGAGTATCTACCATGAATTCCTCAACCAATGGGATTTAGACACATCCCCTCGATGAATCAAGAACCAACTTTTAACTTTAACCTTTGGTAAACATATCGTCTAGGCCCCACTTTGACTCTAATCATCATTTTAAGACACCTTCGCATATCTAATTTTTTAGAATAGAAATAAATCCATAAGTGTCTTGGACAATGCGCAAACAAATTTTCCTTACACATATACTCAATCATATTAGAGTAAAGTTTTTTATGAGTTTTAACCATAAAACTATGTTTTAACAAACTCAAATCTTGTTTACACATGAGTATATTCTCAAAATTTTGAGAAATTACTATTCATTATTATTAATATGCATACTCTTAAGCGATTATGAAATTCCTTATATCTTTTCAGTAGTTATTAATGATTTTTTCTCATTATTTTTTTTTATTTTCCTAGTTCTTTGTAAGAAGTGTTTAGGAATTTATACAAATATTTATGAGGAGTTTTAACTTTTTCTAACAATAGGAAAAAAGTCCCGAGTTTATTACAAGAGATTTCAACATAACTCCTAAGATAGACCATCACTTTTCTTTCCTATACTTAGAAAAATAACTCAAATAGATTTAATAATTACAACTAACTTTTAGTAGCACTAGTGTCTATCACTTTTTATTCATATTATTTAACATATTAGGCCTAAAGAGACATTTACATATTTTATTTACTATGACTAAATTTGATATTCTACTCTATCAAATTAATCTCCACTACTTTAACTCTACACTAAGTTTAAAGAGATCTTAGCTCATCATAGTATTTTATAAATTTGAATAGTGAGCATAATAATGAATAGTGCAACATATGTATCTAAGAAAGAGAGGTGGTGCACTAGGCACGATCAAATACCTATCCTTCGTTGAACCAATCATAAACATGCACTTTCATAATCATCACACTATTTTTCAATAAACTATTTATGAATTTTCTCTTTATTAAGGTCTCTTAAATAATTACGCTTGATATTGTTACTCTCAACAATATCTTATTAAGCATACACATTTTGGGCTCACCACTACCTTAGCCTTAGTCTTAGTCATTTTATTAGTGGTTTATTTTAGTCTATAATATATCCACTAAGTTTTAAAGACTAACTTAGAGGCTCAATTAAACCAATTCATGTATCATTCTAAGCATGAATTAATAAGTAACAAGTCTAAATAGTTTAACCTTGCATGTAGAATCATAATTCCCAGATAGACTTGTTTATTCCCACCATGTCTGCAACTTCAATCTTTGCATCACCATCGTTATCCAGAATGACCCCTAAATCTATCACGACAATCACTTAATCTCAATTATCTTTTTCGATTCTTCTAAAGTCAAATGAAGATTATACGTGGTTAATCATGAAAATAACTTACTGACAGTAATTAAAATAATTTACTAACAGTGACAAGATCCTTATCCTTAGGATTTTGGTTCCTTATCTTCAAGAGATTATAGGAAATCAAAGCCGAATTTAATAAGTATTCAGTTAGAAGAATCTTCTCAGCTTCACTAGCTCCATATTTCTCCAAAAATTACATGTCTTGTGTCTTTACAAATTTCTCAAAGAAAATTATTAGTACGGCAAAAAATATTCACAATTATTTTCACCTTCGTTTCGAGGAATTGTATAATCTTACCCCCACATGGAATAAATGATTTCATATATCCTCATGAACCAACCATAATCCGAGGCAATATACTATTTCATATTAACTCATAAAATCATATGGTTAATATACCAATAGATACCACTTGTTAAAATGATATTATAAACCCGTCTATACATGCATGCCTCCTCTAAAATAAAATTAAAAAAAAATCTTTTAATGGTTTTAAAAAGCTATTTTTTTTATTAAGTTAAGGTGGTTATAAAATAGTTTTGGTTCTAAATACTCTCAACTATTTGTCAATAAATGTTTAATCACCCTTACTGTAGTCGCTGATGCTTGAACCCAGGATCTCGAGGAATAACAATTATTTCTTCGAGATAGTTTAGTTCATTCTAAAAATTTATTAGAAGCTATAAATTCATTAGACCTTAA